CGGGGCCTCTCTCCACCTGCTGCCATCAGTCCCTGGGGATCTCAGCAGCCTGTCTCCTGCACTGGCTGTTTCCCAGTTCTAAGTGACAGCCACAGAGGCATCACTCCTTATCTGTCCCTCAGCTGCCCTGCCCTGCATGTGTGGATGCTCCTTGGCTGAGCTGGGCAATACGCATGGAGCTCAGTGTGCTGAGTGGGTCCCCGTGGGCACACGTGCCCAGGCCTAGGATGGAATGGGGAAGAGGAAGGTGCACCGGTGGGTGGCATGGTTCTCACTTTCCTGTCTCCCACTCTCCCACTCACTTCAAAAGACCTTGGAAGCTCAGGCCAGGCCTCCACAGAGAGCTCACGTGGTCTCCCTAACACATCCAGGTCAGCCGGTCTGCCTACCATGCTCAGAGATCACCTCTGCAGACTCTCACGCAGACGTGAGAGTACTAAAAATACTTTTTTAAAGGCAAATGTATGATCTTTTGGAGTTCTTCACCACAACTCTATACCTGGGTGGGGTTTTGTGTCATTTCAAAAAGGACTCCTCTTGCGAGCAGGTGGCTGAGGAAAATACACCTCTCCTGTGGGCAGGAGCAGCCCTGCAGGTGCCCAGCTGAGCCCACAGTCAGGTGTCATCCCAGGCCCCTGTGTCTGGAGCCTAGGGGCAGTACACAGGCTGGACAGGCTGGCAGCCGTGGTGATTTGGTGTGGCATGGTGCAACGTCTGTGTCCACGTCCTTTGTCACCCATGTTACTTCTACCTATAGCAGGATCTTCCCTGGCTGTAACAGCCTGCAGATTTCCATCTCCCACTGCATCTTAGTGCCTTAGAGTGTTTCACACCCTTCCTCCTCTGGATGGTGGCTTGCTCACATTTCTCCTAACTAAGTGAAAGATCTTCCCTGCTCCTCCTAGAGGATTCTCTCCAGGTCATCTCTGCTCCTTCCTCTCGTATCTCTCCCCCTCCCCCACCTGCGGGAGGCACCAGTTCTCGGGCTCCTCCCCTTGTTCACACTCGACTGCATCTTCTTAACTCCAAGGGCAGGAGCCACTGGCGCTCATAAGGGCTGACCTGGAGGCTGGGACTGGTGTGCGGATGGCTGGCCTCCAGACACTTCCAGGGCAGTGACCCCGGCCTTGCTGCTGCCCGCCTCAGCCTGAGCAGACTCAGTTCCCTGTGTCCCACTGCACTGACCTCACACTGATCCACTCCACGGCAGGGCAGAGCTGGCCTGTTCCACGAGTTTGTGATGGAAGACCCCTTCTTGATTTGGGCCTGGCTTGGTCACCAGTCCTCGCCCAATATCCCAGAATATGGGGCCCACACTGTTCTTAAGGGTGATTTGGAGGCCTTTGATCATCAGGAAAGATGGTGGCCAGGTGGCCCCTGCTCACCACACACAGCCTGTCTCATCTGACCAGCATTGACCACAGAGTCAAGGACCCAGTCTCCACCTGGCATTGCCGGCTGCTGCTTCTCCTGGTCTTCCCTTTCCCGGTCTGCAGGCCAACCCCTCCCTCTGCCGCCCCAGTTCATGATGCCTAGTGGCATCTGGGGAGCCAGCTGCTGTAGGCAGTGCTGGGCTTTCCTGACAGGTGACTGGAAGTTCCTTCTCCCATGGTAAGCCGATGTCCAGTCTCAGAGCATGGCTCTAATGTCCAGGAGTTAGGGTTGCCTGCGGTGCATAGGCACACGAGCCAGCACTGAGGAAGGCTGGGATCCTCCTGAAGGCAGGTCTGATGCCACACCCAGTTTGTTATCTGAGGACTATGCTGTTCCTCCTGCTGCAGCACCTGATGACCAGCATCAATCACACGAGACTCTGACACTGCTCGGGGTGCTAGACGGGCATCGTGTAGCTCTGCCACTCTCTTCCCCATCTCGTGTCAGAGCTACTCAGCCATGGGGGATTCCTCTGCTCTGCTCTCTCCCTAACTCCTTGGTCCTTCATGACTAAGATGCCCATAGAGAAGCGGAGGGAATCGAATCCAGCATCAGAGGTGCCCCACTCACAAATGTCCTTACCAACCTCAGACCCTCCAGAGAGGTCATCTCTGACCTTCAGATGCTCACATATCTGGCCTGCAGGAATCCCAGCAGGTATCTAGCAGAGAAGCCCCAGAGCCAGAGAGAATTACCAGCACAGCACAGTGGAAAGAGAGGGCATGGGAGTGGGTCAACATCTCCACAGAGGAGTGGTATCTCCATGTCCTGGGTGGGCATAGTCAGTTCCCCTTTCTGTTTGCCAGGGCAATGGAACCCTCAGGAAACCAGTGACATGGAAACCTTTTATGTGCAAGAAGAAGGGGCTAAGGGCAAAATCCTGTCACCAACCAAAAGGCCTAGGAAGCCAATCAGGGGTTGGGTTTCAGGGCACAGGACTTGGCTGTGGAAGTCAAAGTCAGGCAGTAATGAGGATTATGAATGAGGGTCCCCTGGAGTTGTCGCATTACTGGTCCCTGTGGTATCGGAGTCCCAAGGCCATCAGATCAGCCTTGCAGACCCCCCCGCACACTGCTGAACGTGAGCTCAACAGGAGCTCATCTCATGTTGCCGTCCATTCTTTTGAATATGATTTACAGATTCTGTTTTGGGAAGAGTGATTAGATAAGGATCAACCATGTCCCTGTGCTAGGTATCCGCTCTCAGTACTCATGAGACCTCTTGGAACTAAAGAAGATGGCCAAGTGATCAGGCTAGTCTGACTCGATAAACTGACAAGGTCCATCTGATCGATCTTTCCCCAGGAAAAACACAGAAATGTGCTTTCAGTGCTCACGTTTACACAATGGACCACGCATATTGTGGCAATGTGTAGGATATTCCCCAGCCTGGGCCTGCTGCTCACACAGACATCCAAGGACCCACACACGGAGCTTGCCATGGCCAGCCACAGGCCATGCCCACTGTGGTTCATTGGCTGTGTAGATGACCACCATGTCACCGTCCTACCCGAGAAAAACAATATCTAACGGGAGTCTCCCTTTCTGCTACCCAGATAGATGTCTCAAGCTAGAGACACCTACACTCTAGGGGTGAGACAAGGCAGGAGAGAACAGAAGTCTGGACGCACGTCCCCATGGCAGAGTGGGCCAGGGAGGAAGAAGACCCTCTATGCTCGGCACCAAAGCGAAGAGGCATCCAGAACACAGTGTGTCCACAGTTGATGCCTCCAGAGGGTGTCCAGCATGTTCCCAACTTGGGTCTCAAAGACAAAGCAGCTTTCTCGGTGACTAACCTGACATGTGGGAGTGGAGCTCCTCTGTACCCAGGAAGGGGGTGCCTTTGAATCTCAGGGAACAACAGGCATTCAGCTAGTTGTGGGGACTCAACATGAACAGTCTCATTACCCTGGCATCAGAGCCATATCCTGTGGACGTGGGTCTTCTTCAGGGATGACGTCCTGCATCCAGTTCTTCAGGAGGAGCCAACCTATTATCCCAACTTCCCCAAGAGCCTCCTCAGGCCCTGGCTGGGGTGAAACTGCATGAGTGGATCTGGGAGCATGATCAGAAAACACTGCTGACACCCCCAGTATCTAAGGTGATTTGGTTCTAGGAGCCCCAAGGATGCCATAATCCTCCTTAATCAGCAAGTGTTCAATTCCCTTATATAGAATGGTGCTGTATTTGCATGTTCAACCTATGCATGTCCTCCTGTAGACTTTAAAATCACTTCTGTAGAATGATATTAATGAATACAATGTCTATAAATCACTTCATGCACTTGGGTTCAGTGTAGTTCCTGGTGCAGAACAAATTTGAATTTTGCCACTAGGAAATTTCTGGAATGTTCTTCCCTTCCTTTCCCTTTCCTCAGTGCTGAGGATGGAATCTAGGGCTTTGCAAATGTTAGGGGCAAGCACTCTAACACTGAACTACATCCTCAGTTGGCTCAAAAACTTTGATCCAGGTTTGGTTGGGGTTGGGTGTGTCTTCTGTCCAGTGTTGGTGAAAATTTGAATTTCAACATAAAGACATCTGTAATGTAGCTGACTATCTGTTCCCCTGGAGAAGCTAGGTGAAAAGTGGACAAACTTCAAATTTTCCATTGAGTCAGTTCTCAGCAGGCAGGATAAGGATTAGATAAGGATCAATCACGCCCCTGTAGTAGGTATCTGCTCTCAGTACTCATGGGACCACTAGGAAGGGTACTTGGTCACATTCCTCGCCACCACTGGCCGAAGGCTGACACGTCAACTTGGTCTAACCAGCTAGGTGAAAGTGTACCAGGACCGTTAAGCTACTTCTAGGAAACCTTTGAAGACTGGCATGGCGCTTTCTCCAAAGCCACATTTTTGACTTTTCTGAAATACACTCCATTCTGCAACCACACAGGTTCTGAGTGTCCCTCTGACAATCCCTGGATTGCTGGAACTTTCTGTCCTTGACATTTTTTTTTGCCCAATTCATACACTCCACCTTAAAATCCACTCAAGAGACTGAGCTCATCGGTAAATGAAAGAGCAGAAGGCTGCCTAATTCTTCAGAACCCTACGTAGATGGGGAATTTTAAACTGCACGTAGAGAAAGCTGTAATTTAACGGAGCAGATTTTTCTAAACAAGACAAGTGTCTCACTTCCTAGCAGTGATTCAGTGGGTTATATTTGGGGCTGGTGTGCAGCTGGCCCACACTGGGATGGCACTCAGGGTGGATAAATACTCACACGTCTGAGTAGTCGCTAACTAGCTGCTGCCCCTGAGCTCCCGAGGCCACCAGCTACTCCTGCCACTTCCTCCCCCTTCCCTCCCTGAAGGGAAATGAAGGGAGGGAAGTGCTGTGTCTGCTCGTTTCCTGATTGACCAGTACCAGTGTGGTCCCATATTTGTAACTGACCTTGGGACAACGATATTAAAATACCCTGCTAGACATCTGTTCCCCATACCGACCTTCAGGCCGTGTTATCGGGTGCACGCAATTGAAAAACCCTATAGAAACTACATGCGTGAATGCTAGCATGCAGGGGGACCAAGGACGTGGGGTGGGGGGAACACAAGGGGCAGCTCACACGTTGAGTGGCAGCTGGACTTTGGGAGATGTGCCCTGCTCTCCAGCCACTGCAGCGGTTCGTGGGACAGCCGTTGGGATGGGTCCAGCTGAGGAAGAGTCCTGAAAACAGACAAGAGGAGACAGGAGTGAAGGGGGGAGATCCCGGCCAAGGGGCGGGGGGGGAGCACTGGTCAGGCTGGCATAGGCAGCCAGGTGCTCTCATCTCAGCTGCCTGAACTTCTTTCTCTCCTCCCAAATTCTCAGGCTGTGCTCACCTGGGCTGCGAATAATGTTGTTTTCACCCAAGGGAGGGAGCATGGTGGCCTGGCACACCTGTCCTAAGGTATCTTGTTCAAAGAGCCTCTTCTGAGCAGTACACCATGGTCAGCACAGGAGAAGGGCATCTCAGGAGGCCTGGCTTTATTCGTTTTTGTTTGTTTTTTACTATCATGATTTTTTATTGTTGTTTTCAGATATAAAAGACAGTAGAGTGTATTGTGACATATTTACCTACATGGAGTATGACTTCCCATTCTTGGGTTTGAACATGATGTGGAGGTACACTGGTGGTGTGTTCATCTTTGAACATAGGAAAGTGATGTCCGATTCATTCTACTGTCTTTCCTATTCTCGTCCCCCACTCCCTTCCCTTCATTCCCCTTTGTCTAATCCAATGAATTTCTATTCTTCCCTCCTCAACCCTCCTTATTGTGTATTAGCATCTGCACATAACAGAGAATATTCAGCCTTTGTTTGGGGGGGATTGGTTAATTTCACTTAGCATGATAGTCTCCAGTTTCATTCATTTATTGGAAAGTGCCATAATTTCATTCTTCTTAATGGCTGAGTAATATTTCACTGTGTATAATATACCACATTTTCTTTATCCATTCATCTGTTGAAGGGCATCTAGATTGGTTCCAAAGCTTAGTTATTGTGAATCGAACTGTTTATGAACATTGGTGTGGCTTTGTCACTGTAGTATGCTGACTTTAAGTCCTTTGGACATATATACTGAGGAGTGGAATAACTGGGTCCTGTCTTTATTCTTAGAATTTGAACTAATTATTCTTGTATCTGTTAAAATTCAGACAAAACCTTTCATACTGCAAAACATGAGCTTATTTCAAAATGGCACTGTAGGAAGCTGAAGATTAAAAGAAAGTCAGTCTCTATTAGTGGACAGTGGCAGGCTACAGGGTGGCCAAGGTTTACAGAGCACGGCACCTGCTCCCAAGACCCTGCAGGGCTCTTCAAGGGTTCTTTATGCAGGACATGAACTGAGGAAAGGTCTAGTTCAAGGTGGTACCCTCTAGGCATCAAGTGTGTGCTGTGATCTATGGTCACTATGGGGTTAAGGGTGGCATAAGGAACCTGAATGTCAAGGAAATTCCTGCCTGGGGGGGGGGGGAATCTTTAGACTCGGCCCATGAGGGCCAGTGTTGTCCCCAAGTCCCCTTGCTACCTAGCCTACTATACTGCTCCCATCCTCCATGGGATAGCTGTCTTGTCCTCTTCTTCAAAGGTATTAGGAGGCATATGGGTTAGATTGTGCCTCCGTCCCCCAAAAGATAGGTCCAAGTCCTTACCTGGCACCTGTGAACATGACCTAATTTGGAATAAAGGTCTGTTGCAGCCAGGGTAGGAATACAGAGAAAACAGTGCCTTTGATTAGAATGGGCCCCCAGATCCAGCGACCAGTGCCCTAATACGACGTAGAAAGAGAGAATAGAGACAGAGGGGAGGGAAAGTCTTGGGCCACGAAGGCAGAGCCTGGAGCCAGGTGTCTACAAGTCAAGGAAGGACAAGGACTCCTGGCAGCCTCTAGAGGAGAGGAGAGAGGCACGGGATACATTCCTCCTCGACCTCTGGGGGGAACCAACTCTGCTGACAGCCTCATTTTGGATTTCTGGCTTCAGAACTCTGAGAGAGTGATTTTCTGTTATTGGAGCCACCCAGTTTATGGAAGCCCCAGGAAACAACAGAGAGGTGGTTTCAGGGTGCCTGGGGAGAGTGAAGATCCATGTCCAGCATCGAGGCTGACAGCATCTACTCCCTTCTGGGGCCCCGGAAAGGAACAGAAGAGGAATCCCGACAGACCCTGGAGCCAGGTGTCTGTGGGCCAGACTGGCACCTTGGCAGAAAGCAGGTGGGTGTGGGAGTTGCCCACGTGTGTCTCGGATTGTGTATCCTCAGGTGGACAGAGGTCACTAGAAACAGAGGTCACAGAGATGAGAGGAAAGAGCCCCCTGGAAAGCTCCCTGCACCTCAATGGACTCACCCCCCACTTCTTAGCTGGGAGGGACCAACGAGGTGCTGCTCACAGACTCTCGGATGAATTCTGACCTTGCCCAGCGGATGCGCTCCATGGCCACAGCACACATGCCATCTCCACCAAGTTAGGAGCCATTCCTCCTTCCCGTCTAAACAGCGGAGATTCGGGCAGTGAGACCACACCACCGAGAGACGCAGCTTCCTTGCACCCAAGCACTTACTTGCCTTTCCGATTCTGACACTTGGGAGGGGACCCATAAATTTTTAAGAAGCCCCCTGACAAAGAGAAGGCTGGGTTTCCCAAGGCAGCCTCCACACAGATCTCACCCCTGGGGCCTCTGGGCATGGAAAGGCTATGTGGGGGCTGGGCCAGAAGTTGGGGGACATTCCTTCCTGTCAACAGATCCTGGGGTCCTCTGTTTCCACACTGCCCTCTCATTTAGGAAAGCAGTGAAAAGGTAGCCATGGGCTCAGACCTACTGCCTCATGGGGGACCCATCAGGAAGCTCAGCCAGGATCAGGGACAGGGAGCAATGGAGCAGGAAAGGGCAAGGGTGCTCTGAGCACTAGCAGCCCTCATGCTAGGGGCCAAACATGGCCTGGGAATGCGTATTATCCCCACCAGAAACTTATAAATGGGTATGTTTTTTTAAAGAGAGAGAGAAGAGAGAGAGAATTTTTTAATATATATTTTTCGGTTTTCGGTGGACACAACATCTTTATTTTATTTTATGTGGTGCTGAGGATCGAACCCAGCGCCCCACGCATGCCAGGCGAGCGCGCCACTGCCTGAGCCACATCCCCAGCCCATAAATGGGTATTTTTAAATCTCCACTTTACAAAATGAGGAAACTGAGGCACAGAGAAGTCAGGTGGATGGCTCACATTCACACAGCCAGCGAGCAGCCAAGGCCAGACTGGAACTCCTGCAGGCTGGTGCAGGATCCCACTGAGCACCTGCTACTCCATCGTAGTGGTTACAACAACACAGATTTGCTGTCTTAGAGTCCTCAAAGTTACAAGTCCTAAAGTCAAGGTATCACGGAGGCCATGCTCCTCCTGAAGGCTCTAGGGAGGTCCGAATTTCTAGTCTTTTCAGCTTCTGGAGCCACCGGTGTTCCTCAGCTGTGGCCCCTCCCTACACCCTCAGAGTCAGCAGCATCTCACCCTCCCACCCAGATCCATAATCCATGCCTCCATCATATCACTACCTTCTTTGACTTTGATGCCCCTCCCTCCTACAGGACCTTGGGATTACACTGGGCCCACCCGGCTCACCCGGGATCATCTCCCCATCTCAGCATCCTGGTCCCTTTTGCCATGTGCAGTAACCCCTTCACTCTGTGTGCCAGAGTGGCTCCCACATAGTCGGCTCTAAATCCTAGTTATCTGGGCTTCTCTCTTTTCAAGTGGGAGAGAGAGAGAGAGAGAGAGAGAGAGAGAGAGAGAGAGAGAGAGAGAAAAGGGGAAAAAATCCTGTCGACCTAGCAGTTTCCTATCAAGAATGAATCCTAAAATAATCGGAAAAGTCAGAATAGAAATGCGGACAAGGACTTCACTGCATAACTATTTATAGTGTGAACAAATCAAGCGACTAGAACTCAAATGTCCCACAGTAGAAAGCCGAATGGCCGATGACAACTCAGGACACCATGCCATGCTAGAATCTACAGAGACGGGCCGAGGGGGTGGGGTGGAGTGCATGAAATGGAAAAGGAGGTCAGAGAAGTGGATATGGAGGATTACCTCATCGCTATAAAAAATGTATGTATATTTTCTGGCAAAATCTGGAAATTTACATATCAAGTGATAACACTGGGCTTTGTGGGAGTTGGGATTTGGAAGAATTTTATTAATTTCTTAAAAGTTTAGTCAGATGCAATGGTGCACACCTGTAATCCCAGCAGCTCAGGAGGCTGAGGCAGGAGGATCACAAGTTCAAAGCCAGCCTCAGCAACTTAGTGAGGCCCTAAACAACTTAGTGAGACCCTGTCTCAAAATAAAATATAAAAAAGGGCTGGGGATGTGGTTTAGTGGTTAAGCACCCCCGGGATCAATCCCTGGTATGAGAAAAACCAAAGTTCATATGTCCAAATTTTATGTCACTTAGTATGAAGTGACAATGGTTTTCTGTACATTCACATTAATATAAACTTACAGGGTTAAGTTGTTGAGGTCTGTTTACAAAGCAAGCTGCAGTTGGTAGTGAGTCCATGCCTTCCTGCGTCCACATGTGCCATCTTTGTGGGTGATGCTGGGAGCTGATGGGAAGGGCCAGGGGTGAGGCTGCAGCATTATCGAGAGGGCTGGCATTCGTGTGGTCAGGCCCAGGTGGCGGTGCACAGTGGCAAGACAGTCAGGTGGGCAGCAGGAGGAACAGATACACAGGATAACTGACCCAAACCAGTCCCATGACACCTTCCTTAACATGTGTCCTTCTCCAGAACAGCCAGACCAGTACTCCACATGCAGAGCACCAGCCAGTGTAGAGGTGGGGACTGCAGAGAGCATGCCCAGAGTCTGCCCTAGTCTGGCCAGTGAATCTCCACCTTTCCAATGTGCCCAGTGGCCTTGAGCTATTCAAGACGTAATTCAATAGAAGGAATAATGCATTTGTCGAGGAGAGACAGAGAGATGAATTTTCATCTGCTGGAAGGGCAGGGAGAAAGCTTGGCTGAGAAGGTGAATTTTGCCGGAGTGTGTCTCACAATACGGCAGCATGGAGGCTACAGACCCCATCTTTTCAGGCATCCTCCTGAAGCACCCCATAGGGCGTATGTGAGGAGGCTCAGAAGGACTCAGCTTGGGGGACTAAAGGACTCATGGCAGGAGCAGCCACAGGGCCC